TTTCCAAGCTAATCCCTCAGTACAAACTTTTACCAAAATATGTTTATGTAGCACTTATTATCATTATAGATTTATCAATCAGCTGCACTTACTTCTGAAGCTGGAACACTGTCACAAACCTTATAATTACTATTCGAAATCATGTTAACCTCTGCAAATGTTGGTTTATCTCATCTTATACCGCGGTACAAACAATATTTTACAGCTTCTGGGTACCCAACTGTTCATGAATGAGCAGTCAGCGTGTTGCAAGGATTATCAAAATATTTACTAAAATGTAATTATAAAAGTTCATTTACAGCCTTGGATAAGCTTGAAAAACTCACATTTGCGTGGTTCCAGAGTATTTCTATTCAATACATCTTTGTACAAATACATGCATAACATATTTAAAAAAATATTTCTTGGGTTTAAATGTTTAAATGCTTTTTCTTCAATCTGCATGATCAGAAGACACAGTGTTGTAAACAGGAAGATATTTCAACAACTAGACTGTGTTGTACTACCTTTCATATAATTTATTCAAAAGATAAAAATCTTAACCTTGAGAATAAAATTTCAATTAATATATTAAAGCTTACGTTAACAATCACTGCAGACAGCAACCGTCTTCATAGAAAACAAGGGCAAAAAGTTTTATTTAAAAGGGGCCATTACTCCAAGAATATTATGAGCTTTCTTAATTATATGCCCCTTGTAAAGCAACTAACCTTGGTCATGATTAATAAGTATAATCTAAACTTAAAATGTTTGAATAATTGGCTACATTAAAGTTTTTGCCCAATGATCCTTGGCCCAATTTTATATGGTAAGGGGCATAAAAATAAATTTATATTAACATAAATATAAAGATATCAACTTAACCATAATATATTATGATGAGACTTTTTTAGGTTGTTTATTTTCTTTTGTTTATACTATTATACATCAGTAAGTAACTTTAGTTTAATATGATTAAATTTGGTGTTCAGGATTGTTTGAGTTGAAAATACTGAATTAGTAGATGGACAACTTTTATTATGGAACCTGATTCGATGGGACCTGTGGAAATTGAAAGTGATATAAATCCATCACAGATATAAAATTCATTTACTTTAACATATACAGGGATATATATTATAAACACAATCCTGGCATATAGTGATATACAACAGATATATTATCATAACATATTATGAGAGAAATTTACTGTAAATAAAAAAAAATATTTATTAGAATTAAAGTAACACAGTATAATTAAAAAGTAAAATTGAAAGAAAGACATAAGTTACTAAGTTTCAAAGTAACACATTATAACATTTAAAATAAGAACCGTTAAACCGGGTGATGCTCCCTGAACCTGATTTGGACACAGAAAAGTATACATATTGTAGTTTCAGAGTTATGCTTCGGACAAAGTTCAAAGTGCCAGATTTCAAACTTTAATTAGGCAAGACAGAGTAACTGTTCTTTGCACTGCTTATTTACCGAATAATATCTATCTACCTACAAAGTTTCTTGTTCATATCTCTTATGTCCTGAGACAAAGTTCGAAGTGTAAAAATTAACATAGGGCAATTAAACTCTAAAATAAGGCAAGGCAGAGTTACAGTTCTCGTGCACTGCACACTTACCCAATGAGATCTATCTACCTACAAAAGTTCTTGTTCATATCTATTATACTTTCAGAACTATGTCCTGGACAATGTTCAAAGTGTAACAAGGAAAGCATTGATGCAAAGCATCAAAGGCGACGCCAAAAAATTTGATCAAGTTTTGCACCGAAATACTTAACAAAAGATGTGTACTTTATAGCAGTACCATTACATGTGACCTGGAGGCTAGGCTTAGTTTAAGTTGAAACTCAAACCAAAAAAGAATAGACCTTGTCTTGCCAAGATGCAAAGACAATTTTTAGTCCATTAACCAATCACAAATAAGACTCATGCCATAAGAGAGAATTTCTTCACATTTATTTTACCAGATACAAGGATACCTGTGTCATCAGCATATAACAAAAGCTTATTGCTTAGGGTTGCAGACATGTCATTGACATATATAATATATAATGAACATCAGGGGGACACCATAGGTACTCGGAGCAGTAATAGAATGAGTACCAGCCACATTCACCAGCTGCTGCCCATCAGAGATAAGACTTGAACCATGTAAGAATGTCATTACTTATGGCAGATGCTAGAAGTTTCATGAAGAAGAAGGAAAAGAACTTCTTCATCTGCAGTATAGTGTGATCAACTATATCAAATCCCTTTTGTCATGAGATCTAAAAGTATCATGCATATAATACTGCCTTTGTTCATTTCAAATTTAATACAATCTGTAAAATGAATCAAACATGTGTCAGTTGAAAAAACACTTCTAAACCCTGACTGAAACTGCTTGAACATGACTCGAACCCATGACTGTCAGAAGACTAACTGAGCTATCCGGCTAACTACACATTTTCTCTTTAGTAATGAACAGTTCTAAACCACAACATATAAACTCACTATATCGATTTGTGTCCTTGAATTTCTGTTGTTTACAGAGAATAGTGAACTTGAGATTATATGAGAAAAACTTCCATTATTTTTAACAAGTCAATTTGAAAGTGAACATCTGTACTAATACATGTACAATATCTTATTTTTTGTACAGATAAAAAGCTAACCTTTCTTCTTTGAAAATAAATTTTATGGAGGGTTATTTGTATTTGGCATCAGGGGGCACCGGCCGAAAACATGAAAATACAACAAACGAACCACTTTGTGGTCGATTGTTTTATCATGTTTTCATCTGGCGCCCGGTTCTTCGTGGCATAGCATTGTTCAATTTTTGAAAAAGAAGCACATGTTTTAAAATCGGGTGTTTTTATAAACTGTGTTAACCTTTTTCTTTTTTGTTTTGGTCGATGGCTCTATAGAGGAAATGTCGAGGGCTCTCATTTAAACAGATCACCAAAATGAGAGAAAGAGCCACTGTTTAGTAGGGGTGTAATGGATGGAATTCAAAATCAAGTAGAAAGAAAACTATAATGTTTAAACTCTATTAAAAATACTATTTTTAGCCAGCTAACACTGGGTATAAACACCTATAACCTATAGACAAAAAAATCAATACATGTATTATCATTTATAAATTTAAATGCAAGTCTCATTCATCATAACTGTATGTTTTTAATTACAGAAATATTTTAAATCAGATTATATCCATATACTATGATATACAATTGTATGAACATAACATTTATAATTCCCAGTTTCCATTAGAAATAAAAATAACATCCTATTAAAATTGGTACTTGGCTGGAATTCATAATCTTGTAGAAAGAAAAGTATAAACATCCTGTATGTTTTTTGATTGATATTTTTACTGTGTGTATCACACTTGCAAAAAATGATATATGTATATAATTATGCAAATAAAACAATTCTCAAACATCGAAGAATATGTATAATGTGTACTGCAAATATTTGTGCACATTATATTTAATCAATAAATTATATGCATTCATTTCTTTTTGGAAAATTTTACTTAGGATTTATAGAAAATAAATTTCTAATTATCTCCCTTTAATTACATGAAATGTTAAATTCAGTAATATCTTTATAAATAATGCTTATTGGAACTTACAATATTGACAAATCTTAATTTGAGCATCATATTTATGAAATAAAACCATGAAAAAATGTGTTAGAGGATCTTAATGTATAGTATAAAATTTTTAAAATCTCAAATAGTCTATATCATATAAAAAAGATTGAGTTGTGTCTAAACAATAAATGTATATCTCTTAAAGTAACAAATATTGTCCCTCTTTTAACCTTCCATTAGACTTTACTATATCACTAACTGCATATACATTGTATATCAAGTGTTTAAAATTGATAACTTCAGGATGTTATCCTTTCTCTGTTTCAATATACGGACAGGACATGACCACCTATATGCAGAGCTTTAATCTTCTAACTTTCATTTTTACCAAAGGTTATTTTATTAACAATTTATATACAATTACACAACATGACATTAACTGCTAATAATAACAGCTCCTTCCATAGGCCAAAATAAAAATCATTCCATAAGAGACGACTCCGCTCACCGGCGTCGCAAAAAATGGACAAAGGGTAATAACTTCAAAAGTCGGCAAGATAGAGTAATGGTTCTTTGACACTGTAAATCTACCCATGGAGGTATGTCTACCTATGAAGTTTAATGTTGATATCTCTTATAGTTTTAGAGGTATGTCCCGAACAAAGTTCAAAGTAAAAAAACTAAAACAAGGGCAATAACTCCAAAATTAGGAAATGCAGAGTTACAGATCTTGGGCAAAGCACATCTATAAAATAGATCTATCTACATGCAAAGTGTCATGTTGATTCCTCTTTTTGTTACAGAGATATGTCCTGAACAATAAAAGCGGACCAACCAACGGACAAAGCACGACTATATGCTCACCCTTCGAGAGCATAAAAGAGGCCTAAGTAACTTAGTTTTAGGTATACATTTGTTAAAATATGGTTCCTTATCATTAAAAGAAACCCTGACATAATGTAACATGAAGAAGAAAAATTAAAAACTCTTATAGTATTACAGAAATAGTACAACTCTTTACTAAATGTTAAAAAAGTTTACATTATAAGTATGACTTCTTAACCTGACATGTAGTATACAGCAAGAGCACAGATTTTAACTTTCAAACATTATCAAAATAGATAGAGAATTATCAAACTATCACATGACAAAATGAAATAAAAACTTTTTGATCCTTCTTATCTTATCTTACTACATTTACATACAAATGATTCCCCCACAACAATGACCACCTCGTTATCTTAACCAGTCTAGTTAAAACATTGTTGAATTATCCATTAATGTAACCAGTTTCTGACATACTTGGTTAATAATCTTTAAAAGTAGTATCCCGTCGGCTATAGAAATTTAAATTATATGTCTTGAATTATTAGTAAAATGATACAAAACCAAATTGAATAGAGATTTAGAGAATAAGGAATTTACTAATGGCATCAAATTTCAGTGGATCACTAACACAAGACTCTGATGAAGTTAAAGAAATGTATTGTGAGGAATGCGACAGACATAGTGACGGTTATGCTACAGCTGTAGCTTTCTGTGTAGATTGTGTGGATTATTTATGTGTGGCCTGTCAAAGATATCATGAAAGACATTTCACAACACATAAAATCCATGACAGTAACAATATGCCACAGGAATTTTATTTTGAGAAATGTTCCACACATCCTGGACAGCTGGTCAAGTTTTTTTGCTCTGAATGTAACAAAGAAGCCTGCCATGAATGCAGGAATAATGAGCATGTAAACTGCAGTGATGTTAACCATTTACCAACCCTTGCTTCAGAAATACAAGAAAGTGATGAGCTAATAAACATAAGAAAAGACATAAATCAATTATCAAAGGATATAAAAGACACGGAAAAGGTGTTGGATGGCAAAAGTGAATTGATTAAGAAACAAGAGGAAAATGCAACTGACGCAATTAAAGAGCAAAGCAACAAGCTGGTAGCAACTTACATACAACATCATCAAGATCTAATTGATGATTTTGATAAGACAATGGAAGAGACGATTGCTAGGTTGAAGAAAAAAAGGTCAGAACTAATTCAAAAAGTTTCTGAAAAAGAAAGAAAATTTGGAGAAAAAGTAAGAAAAGCTGAAACAGACATGAGAGAAAACGTTGTTAACACAAACACAACCTTTAAACTACTCATGACGGAACATTTGAATTTGGTTGGAAATTTGAAGGCTCTCACCGTTGATCTAGAACAGGCTCAGAAATTAGGTCAAAACTGTAAACTATTTATAAAACTGAAATTAGCGAAACAAATGTGTAAACAAATTCAAGCCACCACTGACAAAATTCAACATTCCTACATACAACGCTACAAACTAAACGAATCTGAAATTCCACCAACAGTACAATCTTTAGAGGGTCAAACAAGATTTTTCTCATTTGATAAAGTACATGTATCAGCTGGAGAGAAAAAGATTGCCTTTAATTTTGATATCAATCACCACTTTCTAAAAATAACTTCTTTTCTTGTGGTATCTGAACATGCACTTCTTGCATTAAGTTATAGTAGGTGTAGTCTAGTCATATTTACGATTGAAAAGTCAAAGGCAGAATATATAAAAGAAATGAAATTTAACACCAATCCTTGGGGAATGACAAAAGTTTCAGATAATAAAGTTGCTGTCACATTTCCAGATGAAAGAATGATCAGACTGATTACATTTTCTGAGGAAATGGAAGTTTTAGATACCACTGAGATACCAGGACAAGGTTGTTGTTTTGGAATTGCTTACAGTAATAGCCATCTTGTTGTTTCATATTACAAATTAATGTTACATGATTATCTTACGATTATTAGAAGTAGTATTAAGATTTTAAGTATGTCAGGTAAAATAGTGAAATCATTTGACAATGGTGACTATGGTCAGGATCTGTTTAACATTCCTTATTACTTGACTGTCAGTCCTGACAATACTATGATATATGTCTCTGATTGTGGCAGAAACACTGTGACCTGTTTGACCTTTGATGGTGAGGTGAAGGCCATCTACAAAGATGATCAACTGAAAAATCCTCACCAACTTGCTGTTGATGAATATGGATCGGTTTATGTGTGTGGTCATGACTCAAACAACGTCCATCTATTATCTCGCGATCTCAGCAAAGTGAAAATACTAGATAAAAGTCATGGCATACATACACCATCAAGTATTGCATACTGCCTGAATACGAAGAAATTATTTGTGGGAATGAATCAAAGTAGTATAATAAAGGTTTTTAATGTGACACTTGAATAAAACATTACATCACTTTCACAGTCTCATTAACAACAATTTCTATTACTGCTATATATTCGTAAATGACATTAAATATTCTTACCGTAAAACATTCAAGATAAATGCTTTGAACCACTGCCAGAAAAGTTTAATCAGTATAGGTGTGGGCGAGAAAATTTCAATCAGTAATCAAGCGACCTCACCAAAGTGATAATCTTCATAGTTATAAAAGACATGCAAGAGATTTTTCAACAAGAACTGCAAAGTTGCAGAATAAGAAGACATTGTGGGAATGTGTGACAGTATAAAAATGTCAAATGTATAACAAGGATAAAGTATTTGATTCTTACACAAAGATTAGACCAGTCATTAATTTCAAAGACTCATTTAAGGGAGGTTACATAGATTCCTTATAACTATAACAACTCAATACTTTATATGAATATGGCACATTGGAATCTTGAAAATATTGAGTCCTCAAACCTGTTCTATTATGTTGTCTGGTGTAAATAACTAAAGCATGTTATTCAATGTATAAACTTATTTTATCATTTCAATGTAATGAGTTGTATTTATCAATAAATTTTTATTCCTGTTAAAGTTTATGATTTTTTTTTTGCATTTTTCCCTGTTAGTTACATACCATTACTTAATATATACCAATGCACATTCAAAAATATTCAGTACTTTCGATTCAAATATAATCGAGAATGGGAAATCTTAAATTAAGAAGTTTACAAGGGTAGCAAGAATACGCCATATACATGTACGAAAACGCATGTACAGGTAACACTGTTGAAAGAATGTTATATGACCTGTTAGGTTAGTGGTTATGGTTATTTTGCATGCGGAGGGTCTTCAAATCATACAATGGCTAATATTTTTATTAGGTCTTTCTATTTCCCCTTTTTATCTATAGATTGTTTTTTTCATATTTTTATTCCAAATACTTTATTTCCGTGTATGATGTAGCATATATAAGAAGTTACAATAGGATTGATTTCAGCAATGCAAAAATTTGTCTTCGACCTCTTTGGCACTCTCAGTTGAGCTGGCGAGTTAGTTTCCGGTGCCAAGCGAGTACCTCAATAGTTGAATAGTATAGAGAAATGAAATTCGAGATTTTAACCAAGTGGCTTAATTAAAAGCTAATCCCTAATTTTTCAGCACACAGTATTTTGGTGATAGACAACGTACCTTATCACACCAAAAGTGTGATAACACCCTTATTATTGTGCCATAACATACAGCTCAGGACTCGCATGCTCGCAATAAAACAGTTGATTTCGTTGGAAGTCATTGTCTCAAGTGTAACAGAAAAACTTTATGAATTTAATTAAACATGAGATGTGTCATTAACATGCATGACACAAACACGAAGTACACGTGCATTGAAAAAAAAAGATATCTAAAAATATTGGAACTGTTGGGATTTGAACCCGTAACAGTATGATTGAAAGACCAATGCTCTTTCACTACACTGCAACGTCTCACTGACTTTGGTCATTAAGTTTTACTATACTATCCAAAAAAAAGACCTTTCGTTCTCAAGTGCACTGGTCCGGAAAATATTTACAACGATTCCAAAATTAATAAACTTCTTTAGTATGCATCTCTTCAATACCTATGCTATAAGATATGATTTTTGAAGATTTTTCCTATGAGTCACTTTCAGTCACTTTTTTCAGCTGACTTTGGCTTAAAATTTGGCCACATTCTCAATGCCAAAAGGTAAAATATACTTTCCCCTATACAAAAGCCTTTTCTTTGAGATCGATGGTACTGAACATGTGAAAGTGTCGTTTGTTTCCTTCCATTTAAAAGTTACTGATAAAATTAAAGCAACAAGGCAGTCTGAAAGACCTTCTTTTTATATAGGGGGTAGCAATCTGCATATTATGTCTTTATGGGGAGCAACTTGTTCAGTATTTCTTATACATTTGTTTGTCAATATTGAAAAGTGGACATAAAATGTCAATTGAATGTTAACCTTTGAGGTAGCAACGAAGATGCTGCCCTATGCAAAATTTTAGTTGTATCATGGTGGTTATCATAATTCCATTAAAAATAGTCTTCTAAACAGTCATGTTATAGAGGGGTCACAAATTGTGGGTTATTTAACATTTGACCACTGAGTGTAACCTTAACATTGAAGGTTTCCACATGTTTGTTGCACTTTAAGCATTCTCTCATAATGTTGATTATTTTGCCAAGTTATTTAAGAAAAAATGTGCAGTTTAATAACTATATATGAAATGTATATAAATTGTTGACTTATAAATATTTGACCATGAACTGTGAACATCACCTTGGTGGTAGCTAACAGCCTGTTGCTCTTTGCATAAGGTCAAATATCATGGTAGTCAATAGTATAAAATGAAAAAAATACATTTTCATCTGTTAAAAAGTCATGGAGCAGAGATTTGTTTTTTTTAATATTTGAGCTTTTGTATTAGGTAGCAACCTTGTCTACATTATCTCAAAAGGGTAAAAATTTGTGCCAAGTTATTTTGGAATAATGTTTAAAAATTCTGGAAACAAAGTGATTCCTCGGAAGCATTATTCACAACAAAATTACAAGAGAATTGCAGACTCGGTATGATTGAGTCTGTATATGAGGGATAATGGATATGTGCAACATCCCTTACGCCCCCTAGCACCGGCTTGAGCGGGACTCAATTCTCAACACTTAAAAGTGCTGGCATCAATGATCCCGAAGGACCAAAAAATATAACAACACTGAAGTACGGGGCAACTTTTTTAAAGCTGCCACACAGCACTTGACACCTGCTGTTGTGAAGTATGAAAATTCTGGAAACAAAGTGATCCCTCGGAAGCATTAATCACAACAATATTACAAGAGAATTGGCATTCAATGATTTACAGAAGCCGATTCTAGAAGCCAATGCTATCACTATGAAAAATCCAAAAACTGTATCTAAACTACAAAGTGCATTGAAGATGAAGTCACATTGAAAATTGTTATTATCTTAAATGTTTAAGGCACAAAAAACGGGGCTATCTGAAAGAGCTGTCAGTTATTCTCCGTGCTTAATATTAAATCAAGAGCCATGATGTAGGAAAAAAGATGTTTAAAAAACATGATACATACAATTATAATTAAGTCTGTCAAATTCAATGTTATATGTCTTTCTTAGTGACCTCATATAATGATATATGATATCAGACAAGCAAATCAGTCCTTGATGAGATAGGATGTTACTCGAAAAAAATAGAGAAAATAAGAATCCCTAAAGAAAGCCCAACACGGCACAATTGAAAATGTTGCAGGCTCGGTTTGATTGAGCCTGTTCATGGACGGTACTGTCAAGTGCAAACTACCGTCCACGCCCCCTAGCACCGGCTTAAGCAGAATTCAACATTTAACATGAACTGGTACAATTTAGAATTTTGAAACATTCGCCGATATGTACATATGGCGGTTATCGTGGAATCTTCATTGTGACAAGTAAGTGCCATTCCATGAAAAGCGGCATATGGTCCCCAAGTAAAAAATGCGTGTGGCCTAAACGAGAAAGCATTGGGCGAAACTTAATTAAAATGGAATTTTGAAAGGGGATCAGAGGTTATGAAGTAGTTATTATAAGTTGTCCTTAAAACTTTAACATAATTGTTATGTTAAGTGGGTAGGATAATACCATTATTTATAATCACTTATCAACATTTTCCCAAACAAAATGGTATTGTTTTTATTCAAATGCTACAACGTCAAGGTCAAGTCACTTTATAACCTGCCATTTAAATACCATTCTATCTTCAAACATGATAAGAAAAATTATATTTTATAAAAAGCAAAAAAGAAAAAGGGAGCCCAGTTTTGGCCCTAGGGCTTTTATTTGAACAAACTTGGTAAACATCCACTGGAAGATGTTTCATGCCAAATATCTAAGCTGTATCTCTTTTGGATTTTCACCAGAAGGTTTATTTTTAGTTTTGAAATAAGAAGTTGTTTAAATAAGTTGTTGACGCACGCACAGACGAACTGACGATGGAAGACGGTCACTGGGCCATCACAAACTCTCACCTTGAGGACATTGTCCTCAGGTGAGCTAATAATGTGTTGGAACTTTTCATATTTTCTGGACTACACTGGGTATTAGTATAGAAACCTGTTCATCTTGCTTCAAAAGGTGGTTTCATCTTCTTTTCGAAACAAATACTTGAGACAAATGAAGACACCCATACACCAAGTTTCAACAATATTGAATAACCCTATATTTTATTACCCTTGTACGTGCATATAGTAAATCTATGTATCAGGATCAAAGTACGTTAAACAGCAAAGAATGATAAACCTCTAATACATTACATATAAAAGACATTTTGGCATACATTTGTTTGATATTGTACATATAATCAGGATCATTTAAACAAACTCTGGAATAATTTTACCGAAGGAGAATATAAAAAAATCTTACAAAGTAATCTCATATGTTTTCACAATAAAGTATTATCAAACTGATTTATAAAATCTTATCAGTAAATAATATGACACAATAAATTCCTTGGTATCTCAACCTCTTCTCAAGCAAAAATTATGCAAGGCAACAAAGCTGTATCTGGTTATTTTAACTAACCATGTTAGGTCATTGTAATATAAAACACCTGATATGCTGTTTTATCAATATTTACATAAACGAGCATAAAGTACGAGCTATTGATTTACTAAACAATTTTAAACACTCCACTTGTTTAAACCGAAACTGCTTTGTTAAATGAACATAATTGAGAATAAAAATGAAAGCATTTTTATTTTCATACAAAACAATTTTCAAAATTAACAATAAACCTAAAAACTAAGTGTTTATTTTTTCAAGTGAATTACACAAAAAAAAACAATTGAAAATGGCTACTAATTTAAGTGGATCACTAACACAAGACTCTGATGAAATTAAAGAAATGTATTGCGAGGAATGTGACAGACATAGTGACGGTTATGCTACAGCTGTAGCTTTCTGTGTAGATTGTTTGGATTACAGGCCTCGACATTAGCGGTGGTCCGTTGGTCCGAGACCACCTGATTTTGGCAAGGACCACCTAATTTTAAAATGCACTGGTCCGTCGGACCACTTGAATTTTCTTGTTTGTGCAAGGCTCATTTGGGAGAATGGCGATTTGGTCAAAAATGTTATATACATTTTGCTTAAAACCATTTTTCCTATGAACATGTATAATTATGGTTCATTAATAGATTAATCTGATTAGAAAGTCTTAAATCATCAATAACTTTCATTTTAAATCGCTAAAATTTTGTATTTGCAAGTTAAGTTACCGGGACGATCCGGGGTGAAATTATTGTTGCGGTCACACTTACCCCGGCAGCACTACGGTAGTTCCCAACTAACAACCCAGGATGCACTCCGAATCATCCCGACAGAGCCCAGGTGAAGCTATGGTTCATGCCGGTGCTTCCACGGTCGTACCCGAATGACGCCAGAAGAGCCCCGGTTGACCCAGGCAGAGCCCCGGTCGATCCAGGCAGAGCCCCGGCAGAGCCCGGGACGATCCAGGCAGAGCCCCGGTAGAACCCCGGTGGATTAAAAACTCCCGAAAATGATAACATTGATACATAATTTCTATTTAATATAATATCTATTGTTCCAGAATAGTAATTCATGATGATTTTCTGAAAAATCCGTATGCCATACTGGATAGAAGGGAAATGGGAAGGGTTTTAATACAAACAAGTGCAATCATCGCAAATTGTCGTTATTTTTTTTTCAAATGATCCGGGCTTTGCCGGGGCTCTACCGGGGCTCTACCGGGATCAACCGTAGCTCTACCTTTATCCTCCGGGGCTCTGCCTGTAGTGACCGGGGCTCTTTCGGCATATACCGGGGCTCTACCGTAGCTCTACCGACTATATCATACTCCGGATCATCCCGGACCAGCCCGGTGATATTAAATATTTTATTCCATCCGGGGTCGAATGCCGGATGTTCCCGGATCATCCCGGACGTTGTCGGCAGAGTTAAGGATGTACTCCGGTTGTTCCCGGTCGTTCCCGGATCATCCCGGACGTCTACCGGGGCTCTGCCGGGATGTAAGTGAGACTGTAGCTTTAAGAATTTGTGATATTAAGCTAGGTACAAATTGCATTCAAATAATACTAGTAATGATGCATCGTCTGATTACCACGGCGGAACCTTTAACATTTATGTTATGTTACATGTTAATCACACGTGGGTATCCGACGATGGTAATTATGATATTGCATGGGATACCATATGAACTTTAAATTTCATATACATGAATAATGGCAGCAAACTAAAGGAACTGGAAAAAATACATCTAGTAATTCTTTGCTTAAGTTATCTTCGCGATAAGAGATCCATTTCTTCCAGAGTTAAGATTTCTTTTTTTTTTAAATAAAAGGTTAAAAATACTCATTGTAAAAAAAAATTCAACCAACAAGCAACAAGGCGGTAAAAATTCTGTACTCATAATAAAACTGTGAGAAAAATAAGCTAAACTATAGTGATATATAAAGTTGTTTTTATTTTTATTCCTTTAGATGTTTCCTTGTTTTAAGATAATTGATTAGTTTTTATTAAAAATGTTAATCTATAAAAGATACATGTAATTATCATGATTATAAGACATACCACGTATCAGCAATAAATATTTGAATAACAGTAAGAAAAAACCCCAGACACAAATGGTTTCACTATTCCCTAACTTGACTTGAGGGAGAAATCACTTCAATATAAAGTTAACACAAATAAGAGCCCTGTTGTGTATTTTTGAATGAGCTATGAAAAATAACTTCACGACAGAATACCTACTAACTTGCTCTCCTTAATTTATGATTAGATAAAAATATTGTATCTAAAATGTCTGTTTTCTTTAAAGGTTAATAATACATCTTTGTCATTAATTTTAAGCATACCTTTTTCTAAACTTGCAGTAAACTGATATAATAATAATAATAATTGACCACTTGACTTCTGGAAGGACCACCATAATTTCAAATCTAGTGGTCCGGCTTACCACCTGATAAAAAAGTTAATGTCGAGGCCTGGATTATATATGTGTGACCTGTCAAAGATATCATAAGAGACAATTTAGAACTCACAAAATCCAAGACAGTGACCTTATGCCTCAGGAGTTTTATTTTGAGAAATGTTCCACACATCCTGGGCAGCTGATCAAATTTTACTGCTCTGAATGTAAGAAAGAAGCCTGTAAGAAATGCAAGGATAATGGGCATGTAAACTGCAGAGATATCGCCCATTTACCAACGCTTGCTTCAGACATACAAAAAAGTGATGAACTAATAAACTTTAACAAAAATATGGATCAATTGTCAAAGGATATAAAAGACACAGAAAAGCTGTTAAATGCTAAAAGTGAAGTGATTAAGAAACAAGAGGAAAATGCAACTGATGCATGCATAGAGCATAGCAACAAACTGATAGCAACTTACAAACAACAACATCAAGATCTAATTGATGAATTTGATAAGAAAATGGAAGAGACCATTGCTAGGTTGAAGAAAGAAAGGTTAGAACTACTTCAAAAGGTATCTGAAAAGGAAAGACAATTTGAAGAAAAAGTAAGAAAAGCTGAAACAAATATAAAAGAAGAGGTTGTTAAGACAAACACAAACTTTAAAAAACTCAAGTTTGAACATTTGAATTTGGTTGGAAATTTGAAGGCTCTTACTGTTGATCTAGAACAGGCTCAGAAATTAGGTCAAAACTGTGAACTGCTTATAAAACTGAAGTTAGTGAAGCAAATGTGTAAACAAATTCAAGTCACCACTGGCCAAATTCAACATTCCTACATACAACAATACAAACTCCTCGTATCTGACATTCCACCAAAAGTAAAATCTTTAGAGAATCAAAAAAGGTTTTTCTCATTTGATAAAGTACATGCATCAGGTGTAGAAAGAAGACTTACCTTTATTTTTGATATCAATCACGAGTTTGACTGTATAACTTCTTTACTTGTGCTATCTGAACATACACTTCTTGCATCAGATTATGATAGGTGTAGTCTTGTCATATTTTCACTTGAAAAGTCAAATGCAAAATATATTAAAGAAATAAGATTTAAAACCCAACCTTGTGGAATGACTAAAGTTTCAGATCATAAAGTTGCTGTCACATTTCCAAATAAAGAAAAGATCAGACTGATTACATTTTCTGAGGAAATAAAAGTTTTAGATACCACTGAGATACCAGGACATGGTTTTTGTTTTGGTATTGCTCACAGTAATAACTATCTTGTTGTTTCATATTACAAATCCTTTACAGGTAGTATTAAGATTTTAAATATGTTAGGTAAAATAGTGAAATCATTTAACAAAGATGACAATGATCAAAATTTGTTTCCCATTCCTGATTTCTTGACTGTCAGTCCTGACAATACTATGATATATGTCTCTGACTGGAGCAGTAACACTGTGACATGTTTGACCTTTGATGGTAAAGTGAAGGCTATCTACAAAGATGATCAACTGAAACGTCCTCAACAACTTGCTGTTGATGAATATGAATCAGTTTATGTGTGTGGTTGTCACTCAAACAATGTCCATCAATTATCACATGATCTCACCAAAGTGAAGATACTGCTAGATAATAGCCATGGCATACTAAGACCAACAAGTATTGCATATTGCCGAAAACACAAGAGATTATTTGTAAGAATGGATTATAGTAGTAAAATAAAGGTTTTTAATGTTTCACTTGAATAAAATATTATATCACTTTCACAGTCTCATTAACAGCAATTTCTCTTACTTCTATTGATTCTTTAAAAACATAGATAAATTTTACCCTAAAAAACATTCAAGGTAAATACTTTGAAAAACTACCAGAAAAGGTATATCAGTAAGTGTGTAGTAGAGAAAATCAAGTAATCAAGTGACCTCACCAAAGTGATAATCTTCATAGTTAAAAATTTAAAGCAATGTAGAATAATATTCAACAGGAACATAGTTGCAGAATAACAAGACATTGTGGGAATGTGTGATAGTATAAACGTCCAATGTATCTTGAGAATAAAATATGTAACTCTTACACAATGACTTTAGATTTATCATTTTGTTTGTTTGTTCGATTGGGTTTTACGTCACACCGACGCAGTATAGATCATATGGCGACGTTCCAGCTTTACTGGTGGAGGAAGACCTTAGGTGCCTTTCTTTGCATTATTTCAGGCACAAACGGGCACCTGAGAAGAACCACTGACGTTCTGTCAGCTAGCTGGACAGCTTCCTCACATGAAAGAATCCAAAGTCCCTGTCGTGATTCGAACCCACAGAGGTGAGGGGCAAGTGGTTTGAATTCAACGACCTTAACCACTCGGCAACGAACTCCCCAAGATTAATCATTCATTCCAAAGTCCTTATTACTGTAACAACATATCACTTTACTTAACTATGGCACATTGGACTCTTGAAATAATATGTTAATGCACATATTCATCAAGTCTTTTAACCTGTTGTATGGTGTACAGTAATCATGCCTATACTTTACTGTAATAGTGTTTTATATTGCAATAATTAAGTAAATTTGTGCCTGTATTTTATATACAAAACTGTACATGGAATGAGCTGTATGCAATTTTCCTGCTATTACGGTTTTTTCCTTTCATTTTTCTTTTATATAGTTACACTTTTTGCTAAGTTAGTGACATACCAAAATTCAATACCTACATGATTGTATAAATAAATAAAATTGAGATCTAGTTATGATGTGTCACTTGTTACTATCTGATAGTCCTACACTTACACAATGTAATATCATTATTCAACAATGTTTACATGACATATTAAGAAGGCCATGATGGTGTTAGCTAGCACGTCTGGCTGTACATCTATCTAATAAGTACAATGCAAACAAGCCAAGTATCTCAGGTGCAATACTTATGATTCGACAGGGATTTTTTTAAAATAATGTTTCTCCTATAAGTCTGTTGCTTTTTCAGAACTGATTTAGGGCAAGATTTCGACCATACATGTATGTCCATTTCCAAAATGTATATACTGGAAAAAAATCCCATCCACCTGAGTGAAAAAAAAAACTTTTATTTTAAAACCATTTTACTGAATGTTAGATCCATCATGGCAAGGCCAGTTTGCACGCAAATATCATGACTTGAACAAAGTTGGACGTGGTGTTCTGTAAAATGCTTTCTATTGGTGAGGATTCCATAAAGCTTTTGAAGTTATCTTTCATTTGATACCAAAATGATTATAATTGGTTAAAAATAAAGAAGTGATTCCATGTTTCCTTCAGTTTTACTGAGAAATACTTGAGAGGTGCCAGGTTTTATTTCATTATTTCTGCCCTATCCATTAATTGTAATAATTAAAAGAAATATCTTTATCACACCCCCGTAAACGATATTGCATGGTCGTGCATATATTTTTATGAGATGTCATTTGCATTATACAAATAAAGCATAAAGATGCGCTCACTATAAGCATGTCAATAAGAAAGTGATCTTTAATTGAACTGAGAAAAGTTCCGAAATGGGAAATATAAAAATGTAATATTTAATTCATTAGTATTAAATTAATTACTAAATTTATTAATTGAAATACTTTCATTTCTTAAATTCTTTTGGTGTCATGAATACTCAATATTACTTGAACCTTGAATCGTTTTACTTTTTACTTTTCTTAAAACCTAAGCACATTTTTCTCAGGTTTGATTTTATCAAAATATTTTGGCTTTTTGGCATGCAGTTTTAAGACCAACCTGGTATCTGCTAAATTCAAGTTATAGAACAAAATATATTTACAATTATAGCTGTCCTATAAGTCCCTACACATTACAGGGTTTTATCTATAACTCTATTCTGTGGATAACAGTTGAAGTTAAAACAGGTCTCCAAAAAACATATTTTTTAATTCTGGCATATGAAGTAATTAAGAATTTCTAACACCTTTATTTAAAAAGGTTTACAAGCTCTGTTTCCCGAACTTCTGGGAAAAGTTAAAACAAAACATAAATATAACATAGATTTTATTATTTTAATAAAACACCTCTACCAAAATACATTTTATAAGCAGCACTTATTTAGATGAGCATTAAATATAAAAATCTCATTTTACAAGTACATTTATTAATACATTAATCATTTTTGTCAAAATGGTCCCAAAAATAATCTCTCATGAAAAATGTTTATTCAAAAATTGATTAAATTAAAAAACAAACAAAATACCAAGAACTTGTAGTTGAAAATGGACAAATGTCCCAAAAAGCTGAGCCCAGTAAAGGGACCATGACCTCTGACTTACATCAAAAGGCCATGATTACTATGAAAGAGTGTAACAAGAGTAAAGAAACATTAACATTTACTCTGTAGCAGGCGACACAAAAATATACCTCTATATACATGTACAAAATTATAACTTAAAAAAACTAAAATATATAAAATTTTAGATCACAAGCATGTTACAGATACTGATACAGCAGTCCCAACAATCTGTATGAAGTTATCTGATGATTCCCTACCTCCAACCTATTTAAATGTAGAAATTAACTTTAAAGAATTTCTTTTAGTCTATTTACAATATCCATGAGGCCCTTGATTCACATAACCAAGTTTCATCAACCTATTGTTTGTACATTAAGTTTATCCCTGTGATTGGTAACCACATTTTTACTCATCATCAGCTGTATGAAGAATAAAATTAAAATTCAGTGCATTATCCCCATATTGCCCTTTATTGACTGGCAAAATACATCAGCAGCCTAGCTTATGTACATTTTGAGTTATGGCAATGAAGAAAAGATGAATTGAACAGAGGTGGGTAAACTAACAGTTTCCTCCAATGAAACCTGATGGGGACTAACAAAATATCCACCCAATGAAATTCTCCTGATGTAATCTTGACATTCCTAAACACGGATTGACCTTCCAAGATGACACTCTACTAAAATCATGGCTTTCTCTATAAGGGGAATAAGGAGAATCTTTTTAAACCAAATGGAAGTAACTAATCAATCTCAAATGCTGCCAAAAGACCATGTTTCATATAGGTTCCAATAAATCAGGTATCTATGATATATCAGTTAAAAATAAAGATGTCATGAAAAACAGTAAGTAAAATTAAGGACAGGACGAATTATCAACTTGATGCTGGGCCAATGATTTGAAAATGTTTGCCCTATGGTTTGAAAATGTTGGCCTCATGGTTTCAAAACGCTGGCACCATGGTTTGAAAATGCTGGGCCAATGATTTGAAAATGTTTGCCCAATGGTTTGAAAATGTTAGCCAATGTTTTGAAAATGTTGGCCTCATGGGCACCATGGTTTGAAAATGTTGGCCCCATGATTTGGAAATGTTGGCCCAATAATTTAATATGTTGGCCACATGGTTTTAAAATGTTGTCCCCATAGTTTGAAAATGCTGGCATCATTGTTTGAAAATGTTGGCCCCTTGATTTGTACAATGCTGGTTGATGACTTAAAAAATGTTGTTTGATTTGAAACTAATATCATTATTTATGAAAATATAAACAATTATTTAAACAGTTTGTCTAAAAAACTGTATATCAAGTAAAACAAGAGCCATGTCAACATGGCCATCCCCCGCCGAATGTGTTTGCTCATTGGAAGAATGTATATGTAGTAGAGCGGAATAATTCCATTTTAAGAGGTCTTTTGGTAATGAAAACTGATGGCTATAGTGATTACAGATTTGAATCCTATGTGAATACTGATGGCTGAAAATAACAAAGGGCAATTACTGAACAATAATGCAGGGTAGGTTATCATTCTTGTGTGCTGCATCCCTCCTCAGTAAAATCTATCCACCTATGAAGTTTCAAGTTGATACCTCAAATACTTTTTGAGAAAAAAATTGAATTGAAAAATTAAGTATGAAAAAGAACAAAGGGCAATAACACAACAATTATAAAAGGTAGAGTTATCATTCTTGTGCAGTGCACACCTCCTGAGTGAGATCTATGCACCTATGAAGTTTCATTTTGATATCTCAAAGGCTTTTTGAGTTATGCTCTGGACAAAACTTAATTTTGAAAAATAACAAAGGGCAATAACTCAAAAATAATGCAGGGTAGGGTTATCATTCTTAAGCACTGCACTCCTCCTCAATGAAATCCATCCACCTTTGAAGTTTCAAGTTGATACCTCAAATACTTTTTCAGATAAGCTCTGGACAAAATAGCATGAAAAAAAACAAAGGGCAATAACTCAAAAATTGTATAGGGAAGAGTTATCATTCTTGCGCCCAACAATTCTCCTCAATAAGATCTATCCACCTATGACATTTCATGTTGATATCTCAAACACTTTTTGAGTTATGCTCCACTCAGGTGAAAAATTAGGTATGAAAAATAACAAAGGGCAATAACTCAAAAATTATGAAAGGTAGAGTTATCACTCTTGTGCACTGCACACCTCCTGAGTGAGATCTATGCACCTATGAAGTTTCATGTTAATATCTCATAGGCTTTTGGAGTTATGCTCTGGACAAAAATCAATTTTGAAAAATAACAAAGGGCAATAACTAAAAAATAATGCAAGGTAGAGTTATCATTCTTGTGCACTGCACACCTCCTCAATGAGGTCTATCCACCTATGAAGTTTCAAGTTGATAACTCAAATACTTTTAGAGATATGCTCCGGACAAAAATGTCGGACGGAAGGAAACACGGACGGACGGAAGGTCGGACGGACGGAGACTATTTCTATATCCTCCGCCGAAATTTTCGGCGG